TATTAAAATATTATTTATTATTATATTTTAATAGAATAGAAAAGAATTTAAAACAGAAAATAATGATTTAATTGATTCATGAAAATCATTGTTGTGTTCACTTTATGTTTCGTGATTATTTTAGCAGCCATTCTTGTTTTACCATTACATCCATTATTTGAAAGTGTCCCTGAGAAGTATTATTATAGTTCTCAATCAAATTACTTAAAATATAAAAATTCTAATAACTTTACATTATTAGGATTAACTAATTCAAATAGTAAAATTGGCTCACAATCTTTTGGGATTCAACTCATTAAAAAACAAGATGGAACATATTCTATTACTGAACCTTTTGACCTCATTGAAGTAACCTCTCCAATTAATAAGAATATTAGCTTTCATGAACTTATTAATTTTGGTAATAAAACATATGGAATTGATGCTAATACTGGAATGATCTTTGAAATGCATCAAAAAACATATGTTGATGGTCATTTATATTACAATACTCTTATCCCTCGTCAAATCCTTCCAGCAAATGAAACGGATGAAGAACTTCCAATGAATATTAGACTTGGATTTGTTAAAGATTCAGTTATGCATGTTATTGCAAAAAATTATATCATTGCAGCTTTAGACAATGAATTTAGAGTAAGATGGGGTGACTGGAATAAAGTATTTAAGAAAGCAACATCATCGTTAAAATGTTCTTCAATAGAATTTGGAAGTGTTTTATATTCACGTGAAAATTATACTTTTTCATTCATTCCATTTGACTGTTGTGTAAGTGGTGCAACTTCTGGATTTGGGTGTAATCAAATAATTGTGACTGATGTTGAATATAATGAATTATATAAAGTTACTGTGCCACTTACTCCTAACCAACGAGTAGAAGCAGCAAAATTTGTTCCATATCATGAAAATGAAATTATTTTATTGGTCTCTGATCAAAACCAACCTAACTTGTCTCAATTAATGATTTATTCATTGAACAAAAAAATATTATTACCATTGACAACAATTAACGTTGGTGCAGCTGTTTCAGTATTTGAAATAATTTAATTATTAATTTGTTTTTTTTAACAAGTTTTGGACTAACTATGCTTAAAATTAATTTTATTTGATAACAGAACATCTTTTAAACACTCTTTACATAACTTCTCAATATTCAAATTTGATAATTTCTTAATAATTAATATACTTTTATAATTTCATTAAAACTTAACTAGAGTAATCTCGTTTATCATGAATATATAAGAAATCTTAATTTTAATAGAATAAGAACATCTTATATTCTCTATTCTGACACTAAAAATATTATTGTTACTTACACAGTAAATTAATTTCGTAGAATATTAAAATAAGGTATTTCTCAAATTGAGAAATAACTATTAGAAGTTTAGACAAGTCAAAATCATTATTTCAATTAAAATAATTTAAAGAATATCTTTTTTTAAAATATTGAAAAAAAATTTAGTTATTTAAATAATGAAAAAAAGGTTTGGTTTTTACATAAAAAAAATACTACTCTTTTCAAAATATATTAGCTTCTTTTATTGTTATTAGATTCAGAAGAAGAATTTCAAATTAATAAATTAATATTCTTCGTTTAAAAGAATCAATTCTGTTGTTCCTTTTCTTTCTCTTCTTCTTTTCCTTTTGTAGCTTTAGCTTTTTCTTCTTCCTCCATACTCTTTTTAATTCGTGCAGCACTCTGAGTCATTTTTTCACATAACATTTTACAATGATCTTCAAATCCTTTCTTAAAACTAGGGTCAGGACCAAGTAATCGATAGAAGAATAATGTAATATCTTGTTGTCCATGAGTAGCATCTCTAATGTCACATAAATAAGTTAAAATTTGTGAACATCGAACCATTCGAGCTCCGAACTGAGGTGGGTATTGAACAAAAGTTAACAACGAATCTTCAAATAACCCATCAGCAACTTTTCTATCAATTAATTTATAATGTTTTGTAAGATAAACTTTACAATCTTCATAAGTCTCCTGATCAAGGAAATTGGCTACATCATCAACTAATTCTGGTGGGATTTTACTATTTGGATTCATAAATGATTAAATAGGATTTATATTAAGTAGTTTTGAAAAATAGACAACAATTGATGCGTTGGCATTTTTTAATCTTTTTTAATTTTCTCTATCATCTCTTAAATAGATAATTTAGTTCTGTAGTGTTTTAATACATTGAAGAGAATCACACTCAATGCTCATATGTTGACATTGAGAAGACACAATAACAGTTTTAACTGGACATTCCTTAATATAAACCTTTTTAATACCAACACAATTTAAAATATGTTCTGTCCAACAATTAATCAATACTAAATCATCAACTACTCCTCCTAGTTTTATAACTTCACATTCCCTCAAACTGAGTTGTTTTAAATTTAGGTGTTGTAGTCCTTTTTTCTTATTTAAAATAATGTTGTTTGTATTATCAACAAAACAACTTGATTCTAAACGTTCTAAACTTGTTGGAATAAAAATTTTACGTTTTCTTTGGTAGTTGCCATACAGAGTTAATGATGTTAATTGGGTTAAATGAGAAAAGTCATAATGATTAGGAAAATATCCTAATTTCTCAAAGAATACGAATTTTTTTAAACATGTCATTTGACACACCATCTCTGGAAAATAGGTATCAATTTCTAAACAATAAGTTTGAGGAAGGACAGTTAATGGTTGGCAGTCTGAAATATTAAATGCTGGTAAATAAAGTCTTTGGAGTTCTTGAAAGTCATTTGCTTCAAGTTCGCTTGAGTCAAGACGAATACGTCCAATTGAAAGATAAATTTTTCTTTGGACTATTAAGTTTGCTAATTTAATTGAAGTAGGAAGGTAGTTTGATTGGAAAACAACTGTTAATGATGGAAATTTTGTTTTAATTTCAATAACATCTTTATCAAATATAGAATACACTATTATATTTTTGCAAGTAGGATGATTAAGCAAGAGACTATAATTAATTCCTTCAGTTTTTTGATATATATAAATGACTAATTTTTTTAATGCAAGTTGTTGGATTTGTGAAAGAAGCATTGGGACGAATTCGACAAGTAACTTTAATTCAGTTAGCTCATCCATTTGGGTAAGACATTCAGTAATTATATCTGGGACTTTCTCACAAGCAATAACCAATTTTCTAATTTTTTTTAAATTTACTATATCCCAAATATTTCTTTTATTATCTAAATTATTAGAATTAATTGATATCCTCCAAACGAATGGATGAGATTTAAATCTTTCTTTTTCTTTTTGGGATAACGAGTCAATGTCTTTTAAGTCATCAGTTTTAACACTAAGAGTCTGAAGGTTATTCAATAAATGAAAAATTTTTTTATTTAATTTACATGGATTAACTAAACAACATTGAGAAACACTAAAACATTTTTTATTAATTTGTATAAATTGAAATATGTCAGTTTCATTTAAACTAAAAAATACAGTCAATAAAGATGAAGTATCTAATTTCATTTGTAATTAAATTAATTATTAAGATTTACTAATTCATATTTTAATCTTTTTTTATTCTACTAAAAATATTAAAATAATAACAAATAATAAATATTTTCTGTTATTTAAATTTTTTTATATTAAAATAATTTTATTCCATTTTAAAAATTATTAATTCAAAATAATTATTCAAAATAAATCAAAAAAAAGAATATTTCCAAGCCCTATTAACACGAATATTCAATTCTACTCGTGAGTTTAAAACTTGTTTTAATCTTGCAAAGTCTTAGTAGATAAGACATTCTGTATGTCAATCTGTGGAGACTTGCAATAATTCCGAACAAAATAAAAAAGATTTGAGCTTTAAATATTTAACCTAACCCTTAGTTTTTAATAAAATAAACTATATAAATAATATAAATAGTTTTTTATATTATTATAATAAAAATATTACAATTAAATAATAATCTTAAAATAGAATTTTCAATACCAAAAACTAAAAATAAAAAAGTAAAACTAAAAAAAGAAGAGAACTGTAAAAAAGAAGAAGAAGAAATGAGTATTATTTGTTTTAAGTGTAAACAACCAATTGAAGAAGGACAAGTTATTAATGCATGTGGAAAAACATATCATCCATCTCATTTTACATGTAAAGGATGTGGAGAATTATTAAATAATAGTGAATATCAAGAGATTAGAAAGCAACCATATTGTATAGGATGTGCAACAGCTATGGGGATGTGTCGTATTCAAAAATGTTGTAGATGTGGAAAAGATATTTATGGACAAGTTATTGATATAAAAGGAAAAAAATATCATCCAGATTGTTTTATATGTGATAAATGTGGTATACCATTCAATGGAAATAAATCATATGAAAAAGATGGAAAAATATATTGTCAGTCATGTTATGTTTCATCAGAAGGATTACTTTGTTATGTATGTGGAAATATAATAGAAGGTAAATATAAAAGAGTAGGTGATAAAAAATTCCATGAAGGATGTTTTGTATGTAGTGTATGTGGTATCCCTCTTAATGAAAATTTCTTTTGTAATAATAACACATTATATTGTAATGAACATAAATTTAAATTAATGGGATATAAATGTGGATTTTGTGGCGAAATGATTGATAGAACTGATTCTAATTCTATTATCGCTTGTGGTAGAAAATGGCATGCTGACCATTTTAGATGCGCTGAATGTCATAATCCTTTATATGAAACAACTGCAAGAAGTTATTTAGATAAAGTGTACTGTCCAATTTGTTATGATGGAATAGTAGTGACTCACACTATTAATTACAAATAAATTCTTTTCTCTTTGAATAACACAGTTTTCTCTTTTATAAATTTAAATGATTTTTATAACTAAAATAAATGTTATTAAATTTATTAAAAAAACAAAAAAAAAAGAAAAACAATAAAAATAAGTTAGAGACAAAAATTAGTAAATAAAGTAAATAATAATAATGTAACAATTATTTCCATTCAAATACAATTAAAGTATCAAGAATGAGAAATTTTTGCATTTTGTAATGAATTAGTGGATTTTTACAAGAAGGATCAACATTATAAAAGTTATTTATGCCTTGGTGAATATATACTTTGCCATCTGAAAGAACCCAAAATGCACCATGACAAGTAAAAATAAAACTTGTTTCTCTATTTGGATATAAAATCATTCCAACATCATCTTTTGGATTTGTCTTTTGAAGAGTATCAATAAATTGGTCTCCAAAACCAAATACTTTAAAATTGTTTGAACGAATTTTACTACATTGAAATTTAGGTGAAAGTGGAACAAAATCTTCTTGGAAAAAACCAAGAACATATCCTTCTTTTGTTGTAACAATAATGAACATATTTTTGTGACAACAAACTTTAGAATTAAAAAATCGAGATGACAATTCATCATATGTTGAATCATAAATTACTTGATACGTATTAACATGGTATTGGGTTTTAATCATTTCAGTAACTAATTGAATTTGTTCTGAAATATATTCAGACAATAATGATAATTCTTTTGGATTTTGTCCCATTAAGTTTGTTCCATTTTGTATCTCTTTTTTCTTAGTATTTCTATGAGGTTGAAAAAGTGATGGAAGTACTTGCATTGATTTACGTCTAAGTGATTTAACTTCATTGAAATCTTTTTTAAATTCTTTTTGACTACCTAAACGAGGAGATGATTCTGCACGTGGTGTAGCTGCTTTTCTTTTAGAAGGATCATTAGGGTCTTGATTAAGTGAGACTAAATTAAGGTTTAATGAAGATTTAGATTTTGTACTTAAGAACATATGAGATGGTTTCTTTTCATTTTGAAGTGGTTGTGTTTTTGGTGATTTCATTAGGTTTGGTTGTTTTGAATAATTTCTTGATATAATTAATGGTGTTTTTTGTCGTTTTATTGGGCTATCTCTAGTCTCTGATAGTCTTAGACTTCTAGGGGATGTAGGCGTTGTTTTATCACTTTGTTGAGAATCAAATGATAACCTTGTTGGTAGCTTGTTTTCTTTTAAGCTAAGATCTCCTAATGACCCTTTTTTCATTGCTTTTCGCTTGGCTTGTTCATTCCCCATTATCTATGATATTAGTTTCAAAGTTCTTCTTTTTCTTTTTTTGGTTTTATTCTTACCATGGAAGTATTTACAACAGAATTATTGAACTTTTGTTTTTACAATTTATGAGTATTGAATAATAAAAAATGAGTTTAATCCTTGTTTTCTTTTAATTCTTTGTTAAACTGAAAAAAAATCCCTTTTTTGTCATTTTGATGAAGAAAAAAGGAAATAAAATTCAATTCAGTTTAATTTCATGATGTCATTGATTATTAAAGAAAGAGAGACAACATAATATGAGTAACTAACAATAAAAATAATTAAGTTTTATAGACTAAACACAAGTGTATATAAGAAGAATAATTTGAAGTATTTACTAAAATCTATTTGAATAAAACTGAATAATGCCACTAATTTATTAATGAAAAATAATGCTGTAGACTATAAAGAATAAAAAATAGAAAGGGAATTATAAAATAATGAGACATTATGACAAGACACTAAACCAACAATAATTAAAGGATAGTAAATAAGCAGATAGAACAAATTAATAAACAATGAATTAATTTTTATAAATCAAAAGCTAACTCAACTTTATTATGACTTTCATTAACTCATTAAAAAAAGAAAATAACGAGAATTATTTAAAATTTACAAGAAACATCAAAATAAGATTATTTATCAATAATACTAAATAATTTTCAAATACTTAATAAAATTATAAATAGAATGTACTATTACAACAATAAAATATATTTAATATAACACTTAAATTTTATTCTTTTTTTTATTTCAAATAACCCATATTGTGTATTTCATTTACAATGATTCTTTGTTACATGAAATGTTGTTTTCAATAAGTGAATTTTTATTCATTCATATTTAAATGAATATTGTT